ACAAAACAAAACAAAACAAAATAAAACAAAACAAAACAAAACAAAACAAAACAAAACAAAAAAAAAACATGGCCCTAATATTGTGTTCAGGGATGTGTTCTTGTGGAAGGCAGTTTAAATCTGTGGTGCTCTAGAAGGCAGGAAAAAAAATCTAAATGAGAATTTGGTGGTAATTTTTAAAGAAAATTAATAGTATATTTTATCCCAAACCAAAATAGTTAAATTTGAACATCCTTCTCATGAAGAGATAGCAATGCCTCCTGAAATATAAATCAAATACTATGACACACACACACACACACACACCCATTATCCGTGACTTGATAAGCATTTATTGGGTTCCTATTATATCCTGGCCCTGGAGACACGGGAATAAATGAACATGGGCCATCTAAACAGCTCATAATCTAGCATCTTCTGCCAACAACAGTAGTGATTGGGGATATAATGCTGGTTGGGTCAGCCACAGGCAAGATGATGGACAAGTGATGGCCCAGTGACACAGCCACCTTGATGTGGTGCTTCGCGTGGGTCACAGCCGCAGCATCATGTTTCCCGAGGCCCTGGGGGGATTCACCTGCCCATGCGCTTGCTTTCATCTCCTGTTGCTTTGCCCATCAAGGCCCCCTAAGCATACAAAATCTGTTGCTAACGTGCTTTCACACAAGAAAATCGCCCAATGAAGCATTTTTTTGGGGGGGGGATCCACCTCCATTGTTAGATGACACGTGATTGTAGATGGCTTAATCCAATTCTAGGGAAAAGGATCACAGATATGTAGCGACCCATGCTGATGTATCTTGAGACAGGAGGGGTTATCTTGTGAGCAAAAAGTACAAACACCAGTGAATTCTCCAGATAGGAGGGGGAGCCGATAACTGCAAGGGAGCCCCTCAATTTGGCGAAGTCCAACTTAAGGACAGTAATGCTGCTGGTTAAATCCTCTGCGAATGTGAAGGATGGGTACATGTACTCATGCACAGAATGGAAGTGGTATTGAGGAATAGAAAGAGTGATTTCATGACTCAAAACGTATGGAACTCAACCAAGGAAGATGCTGTGTCAGATCTAACGCTTGCTGACAGGGGAAATGCACTCAAAATCTGCAGGTAATAGGAAACTTTGTGGGAGGGTCTATTAGCTCCTCAGCTGTGGCAGATGATATAAAGGTGCATGAGCGGAGAGGTTTGCAGTTTTATGCTTTTACAAGGAAAATGGAGAGAATTACAACATCCAGAGAGAATTGTCTTCCTGACAAAACTTGTAAAAGGGCCATCATGGTCAGGGCCTCATTTATATTAAATAGAAACAGGTCTGAGGAAGACCGCTGTCCACAATGAGATGATATGTGACTCTGTGTGAACCTGATCAAAGTGACACTTCTGTGAAATATTTATCTAAAAGAATGGAACACAGAGCTAAAGCTAAATAGTGTTGTATCTGCCAACTTCAGACCTCCGATAACTAAAAAGGAAGTTAAAGATTGTCCACATCAGTTTCATCATTTGAAAAGAAATGCTGTCGAGAGAGGCTGCCCTGTTTGTGAGGGTCACCTGCTGGTTGGCATATCTCAGCGGTGACCCCAAGTCTTCTGGCAGCTTGTCCTGTGGTCTCATAATAATGGCACAAAAGCCTTTACTATCCCCCAGCAGACAAGCTGCCCAGTGGCTGAGCCTACGCAGGACATAAACTGTCCTGACCCTCTGCACCGCTCTGCGTTCAAAATTATTGGGTTGTCGGAAAACTCACGATGCATTTTTTTTTGCCTGAAATACATAGAAAAAAAAATACGTCATGACTCTTCTGACAACCAAATAGCTTCCCTTCTCTGAGCTCTTCAGTAACAAATACTTTCATGCTCTCTGATGACCATGTTGCTTAAAGGAATAAGCAAACAATGAAAGAGGTAAATCTGTACTGTTAACAACTTTATTCTATGAATAAGAGTTAGGAACTCAAACTAAATAAGACCTGCATGTTTCTGAGATATACTGTATCTCCTAATGTGCCCTGATTCAGAGAATGTAAAATCCAACAGCTAAAAGGAATTTTTTCCCCACAGAATTAAGCTACTACTCTATCGTGTGTAATTGCAAATCCTGTCACTCCTCCTCCTCATTCTTTCTCTCCTTCTGCTCTCCATTCCACAGACTCTCAACATATACACTCAATGTGCAAGGCGAACAGGGCAAGCAAAGGTGAGACCTTGGAGGAATGCCCTTTTTCTTTCTAGTCTTACAATAGATAAGTGGATTTCCTGAATTATAAATGTAACCTGGAGATATAAATAGAGAATGAAGAGCTGCTAGGAGATAGGACATTCCCTTCCTCACTCAATAAGTACTCCATAACTCACTTGAGCTGGCGAGTTCCAGATAATACATAAATACGAAGACTTCAGAGGATGTCAATAGCTCCCCTTTGGCCTACAGATTGGAAATACACACACACACACATACACACACACACAGGAAGAGAATGGATTAATTGCAGAATTGCTGTGTTATATATATATAGATAAGTCAATATAAGAAATAGTACATAGGCCTGATCATACATGTCTCTACCTACAAATGGCATTTTTGCATTTTAAGCAGGAACATTTCATTTAGCTTTAATCAAGCTTTCAGTTAAAAAACTTTGTAACATCTGACTCTCATTCAGTCTTATCTTCCCCTAATATAAGACTGTTCAGTGAAAATATTTGTGGCAAATACCCCAGCCTCTGAGTGTGCAGATTAAGGATACAGAAACACATCTCTGGAAATAAGTGGAGTATCATCACCGAAGCTGTCACCTCCATGAAAGAAGAAACACCATCATTAGTCACCCTCCGCGCCAGTAAGAAGCTGTTTAAATTGCAGAAGGAGCTGCTTCCATCAATCCCATGCCAGTGCCTTTGTCACAGGGCAAGTTACACACTAGGAATAGCATAGCACCCTCGTGATCTGGAAGATTTAGCACATGTTCAAAACTCATGGCTGGCAGATTTTTATGGACCAACAACTAAGAGATGCAGATTTACTTTTCATTACGTTCCCTCTGCCTTTTCTTCCTTTGGGGCATATTTTCCAAAGGGAAATAATTTTTTTCCTTTTCTATTTGAAATGTAAGCCAATCAGTTCTTAAAATGGCACTCAGGTTTGTGAGCATGAAAACCTACAGTGTTCACAGCGACTCATTGAAAATTATCTTGTAATTACATTATTAGATTTTGCAGATCACCTGATTCATGCGAGCTGCATTTAACATGAACGTCATATCTCTCAATTTTATTTCTCAAAATTAAGTCGTAAAATAATCTACTGAATGTACTTAAGTCAGATTATATTAAAGAACTAAGGTGACAACTAAGAACAACCTTTCTGTTTCTTGGTGGAAAATGTCATGAGACCCTGAGAGCATATTTTAGGTATCTGAACCACACAAACAAGTTTTCAGGCTCTTTTATGGTACATGCTTGACCAAGCTATGTAATGAACACCCCATACGAAATTACATCCTTCGTAAAGTAGGACAGACTGACATTTGGTCATAGACAGAAACAGAGCTGTCCCTCTTTGCTATGGTCTTCACTCAGTATCAGTTTTTGCTGTTCAATCTGCACATAAAAACACAATGGACTGTCTTTCCTTTCTCCGCTCCTTTTATCAGTGGCCTTTTGAAGGAAAAATCTGCTAATACTTTTGGGATTATGAGTAAGTCTTTGAAGTTATTAATCTGATTATTATACTATCTATGCCAGAGCTGGACAAGCACTGAGGTTTATGCTATTGTTAACACCGGTTTGTTAGTGAATGACTATTCAATAATAGCACAGCTTAGTAATTAAGAGGAAGGGACTTAGAATCAAAACCAGGTTTAACTTGTCGATTTTACTCTTTGTAATATGCTACAGTAGATGACCTTGAACAATGTGCTCATCTGTAAAATGGAGACAATGACAGAGTCTTCTGCATGGCAAATGTCAGGGGATTTGGTGGAACACGGTAGTTAAGGCACCTGGCTATTGCCTGGCAGGAAAGCAGTCATTATTTACTAATATTGGTATTAATGGCTGATAGTCTGCATTGTCATTCAAAATCAGTTGCGTCATTCCTATCTTTTAGTTGTACCCAGGCGTTAACTTTATCCACAAGATCATCATGTCAGACGCTGCTTGGTGCCTTGTTGATATTAAAATATATGACTGCTAGTGATCCAGTATACACACAGACAGGAGGGTCCGAAGACAGGTTTGAGTTTATGTCACTGAACCCATCTACCTACTGTTTTAACACCTTGATTTTGTGAGTTGTATAACAGAACACTGAGCTCATTAAGTGCTGTCCCTTAATATGCTTGTTTCAGATAACAACACCCAATGGCTAGAAAAGATTCTGTTTGTTTTGCCATATAGCTAAGGTATTTTCTTACTGAGCTGCCGAGTCTGTGCCCGCTGCTGCCAGCTCACAAATGCTACTGCATCTCCGGAGTGTTCATAACTGACTGTGAATGCTGCCCAGTTTGCTGTTGAGTTTACAGGAAATGAGAATTTGTTCATGTAGGAATGCAATGTATTTTTATAAATTGATTTTATAACACTTTTCTGAACTCATCTATTGCTTCAATTAGATTGTCACTGAAGTCTTTAAGGTTTTCTAGGTCTACTGTCATCTGCAAATGGTGCTAGTTTCACTTCCTCTCTCCCAATGTGGATTACTTTTATACTCCCTCCGGCCTAATTGTTCTGGCTAAGAAATCCAGCACTGCATTGACCAGTGGTGGTGAAAGTGGACAGTCTTGTCTTGTACCAGATCTTCCTGAAGAAATTTCCAGCTTTTCACACTGAGAATGATGTTAGTTGTGTGTTGCTCATACATGGCCTTCACTATGTTGAGGTATGTTCTATCTATCACCATTTTCGAGCATGTTTATCTTAAAGGAGTGTTGAATCTTATAAAACGTATGTTCTAATGAAATCTAGCACAGGAAAGTAAGTTTCTAAATGAGGTACATACCTGAGTTTAAAAAAGGTAAGTTATCCTTTCTGCTTACACCCTCGGGGGCTGTGCATTCACATACCAGGGCACACTGGGAAAGAATGAAATAAAGCATATTTGACGGTTACCTCAATTAAAAATAAAGAGAACATTTGAAAATAATCAAAATAAGAAACTAAGCTCCTTTATTTGCAAGACTGTGCATATGGCTCCAAAGAATTCTGAATAAAACATTTTTGTAAAAATGGTTTTCAGTAGATTGTTTAACTTGTGATTATTTACTACACTTATATAAACTATAATTGCATTATGTAATTATACATTTCAAATCCCGTTACATATTGCTTAGGGAAGAAAGTAAAAAGCAGGACAAGGTTATTTTCAGCATGCTGCGAACCGGCTCTACCAGAGAAACCATCCTGACAAGGTGAACGGCCTATTTCTTTCACCTGGGATGATTTGGGGTCAATAAAAAGCAGATTATTTTCTAAATTTTTAGTAAAGATAACCTTAAATAAAACACAGAATATGTTGTAGCATCTAATCACCCAGGGCAACGTGATATTTTTATCCCTCGCCAAACAATGCAAATGACCATTTGTAAACAAGCTGATATCCAACTTATCAATGTTGGATTGCTTCAGCAGTTTATAAATAAGCTGTTTCAGAGATCATGACTCTCTACTCATCCATGGTTAATAACAGATTAGTTCCATAAACCTTGACAAAACCAACACTTCTCTGGACAGGCAGAATGGAGCGACCCAAAGAGACGTCACCATGTTCCCAGGGAGTGAACCATGCGTGGGAGAGTGGACCCAGACAATCTGCAGGAAGCCTGACACTCTCCCTCAGCTTCCTATAAAACTGTAACAAAGGAAGCAGCGCTCACTTGGCCCGCGGGCATTGACAAGAGGACTGTTTTCACACAGATAGATGCCAACATCTGTCTCTTCAAATAAGTTTCCTTCTATCCTTAACTTATAAACAAATGAGGGAATAAATGAATGGACGAATGGACAGAGGTCTGGTGAAGGAGAGAGGATTTTCAGAGCAAATATAGCAAACATAAACAAATGCATGCAAACAAACAGATGGAAAATGTCTGAACATTCTTTGATTTAGGAATTATCAGGGAAACAGCTAAAGACTCCCCTAGAGCCTGTGAGGGCTCAGACCAGCTCTCCAAGAGGGTCCATCAGGGTTGTATGGGCTAGTCACTAAATGCCCCCCTCTGTCTCCCTTCCACCCAGCCTCTCCTGGAATTAGCCTCTGTGAAAATCACAGCCAGTCAGGTCACAGTGACTGATGGAATCTACATGTCCTGTAAGGATTTTGAGAAGGAAGATAAATGATAAAAACTTCGACTTAAATGCTCTTTTCTCTATTCTAAAGTCCACTATTTATTCTTCTATCATAACACGCATCACATTTTGGAAAATTTCTTGTCAGGGATACATGTCCTTGCAGAGGTGTTGAAGTCCTAGTCTACTGAAATACAAGTGACTACAAACAGCTCTTCAAATTTAATGTTCTCTGAGTTGTTTCCAGAGTCAGAGGTGACCCCTTCTCAATCCACTACTCTTTCAGAAAGGCACTTCTCAAATCTCTAGAGCCATGTGCAATGATGCTTAGACATACTTAAAATTATTTGTATCTCCTATTTCTAATATTTTCTCTACTCCTTTCATTCTACATTGGGTTGTTAAAATAATCTTTCGTGGACATCAGATCGGTATTCTGTGCTAGAATATAGAATGGTAATTTGTTGCCCACTCAAATTCAGTATTCTCAGACTGGCCTTCCAGTCCGATTATGATTTGTCTCCGACACCCCTTGTCACAATAACTAGGTGCATAGAAATGGGCCTGAAGAGGATTATCTCCTACAATATAAATTACAGGGATGATTTTAGCTTGAAATCAATTGGTGAAGTAGTTGTAACTCACCAAGACTAGGCTACTTTCTGGGAAACTGCCTCAGTGAGTGGAGGTAGCCCTACCTCTTTATTATGAAAACAACTTCACATTTCCCAACAGTAACCTGTATCATTTCACCAAATGGGTATGGAAAGAAAACCTCCGTATAGCCATACCTTCCATCCACACTGGAAGGCAGGCATTTAGGATAATTTCAACCTAGTTATTATTTTACTTTATTGTATCTTAAAATGCTAGTATTCAGAATGCTCTGAAGACTTAAATCCTGAGAACATAAACAGAAAATAGTAAACATTTACTAAATGAATCAATATTGTCACATATGAACTATAGTATTTTCTTGAACTGTTTCGGATAAAGCTTTTGTGACTAGATTAAAATATTTTTGATGCCGAGAATCATATTTCATATTTCTGTAGCTTATTTTATTGAACTTTCTTTTACAATTGACCCTAGAATCATCTTGACAATATTCTAGATGCTACAGAGATTAAAATGATATGGAATCTGTGCTTAAGGAGGCTCAAACTAGGCCTACCGCGTGACCCACTCTGCTGCCATTATGATGGAAACTGGCAGCCTTAGTTACATACCTATACGCTGCGCGCTGTTAATGTGATGACTTCGCATCTGTTTTTCTGAGCAGGAACAAGTGTCACGTGCTATATGTGGCACAGAGCCCCACAAGCCCACTGACTCTAAGGAATCCTTTAAAAACCTCATTTGATGGTGTCAAGAAGAAATGTAGGATAGCTAAGATTCTTGGAACTTCATGACTTTGAGTATCAACCGATCCTTTGCTCTTGTTCATCACACATCCTAGAGTCCCTGTTCCTCTCAGATATCATATATTTTATTTCCTTCTCATTTTATTTCAAATATCACAGTATCAGTAACTCTATCATTGACCCTTCGGCATAATGTAACATTCCTTATTTTTTCATCCTTATATTTTCTATAGCATATATTGCACCATCTGATCTAAAATATGCTGTTTTCTTTTCTTTTCTTTTCTTATTTTTTAATTATTTCCTTCCCCTGGAGGCAGCATCTGTGTGTTTATTACCCCACATACAGAACCCAGTAAAAAACCTGGGACACAGAAGACAGTATTGTTTGATCAACAAATAAAAAACATTTCATGGCTGTGAATACCCTAGACAGTGAAGAAGGTCAGTCACACCACTTTCCCTGGTCTATCTGGGCCAACTCAGGAGACAGAACCTTCAGGAAGGTCCTTCACCACCCAGGCACCCTCTTGCCTATGACCACATCTGAAGGGAGTTCACATAAATCACCACTTCAAAGAACGGGGCCGAAGCAAACCAAGAGGCTTGGAGGTCATGGAAACGTGGGTGATGTCAGGGCCGAGCGCCACTGCCCCACCCACACCAGCCTGTCCTCACAGCTGTGGTGTGAGTGGCGACGGAAGCATCATCCTTCCTTTGTAGAACCCACAGCTACTGTGGGTGCCAGAGCTGGGCCGCACCCTAATGTAACACCCACATTTCACAGAGGCAAAGCCAGGCAGCAGCAGCACGGAACCCTCCTCAGAGCCACCCTGTGCCACTCAGCCGCTGCGGCCGGGCAGAGGCCAGGCCCGTGGGCCCACAGGTGTGTCCCACCGCTATTCCCTGCCTCACCTGGGCTTTCTCACCTTTCACCTGATTGGATGATTTTGCTTCCTCTTTCTTTCTCCAGCAGCACTTTTCTTGACCGTTCCAAAGTTTTATTGTTTTTTATCACCCCCCTTTTTGTTTCATAATCCTCCACTGCTTTCTAGACCTTTATTCCAGTTTGTAGCCCCTGACTGACCAGCTGGTAGAGCATTTTACACAGATATTTTCCTTTTGAAGAAACAGTCTTAGATTTTTCTTTTCTCCGAAGTCGTACTGACTTTGTTTATTCATTTTTCCCCCATGTCAAGTTCTACTCTAGACATTGAGAGATAAAGAGGGGTAAAAATTGGACAAATGTTTTTTTCTCATGAAATTTAATTCTAGCAAGGGAACTAGATAAATAAAATAAGACGCTGAGCAGGGATGGCTCCTACTAATAACTCAGAGCAGGTATAAAGTGTGGGGTCAGAGAAGGCTTCAGGTAGAGGGTGATATTTGGCACAAAGCCTGGAAGTGAGGGAAGAGGCACATGGTCACCTGGTGGGATGCCAGAAAGGGAGAATGCATCATGACGTTCATGGACCTCAGCTGGAAATGCACCTGCACCGTTCATGGAGTGGCAGAGAGACAAAGTGGCCAGGTGCAGGTGAGGAAGAACGAGGCATGGAGGACGACGAGCGGAAAGTCACAGGCCAACAGCATTGAGGCTCTAAGTGCGGCCACTCCCGAGGTGCTTGCACCTGGAGGGAGCTGAGAGGCCCCTGAGGGAATGACCTGCGCTGAGCTACATGTTCACAGTTGTTCTGCTGAGAACAGACCTTGATGGTTGTGGGGGGTAGCAGGCGGAGGGAATTGGGAGACAGCTGTAGAAATCGAGTGACTGACAAGGTCAGTGGCAGTGAAGGGGTCATAAGATCTTGGCTTCTGGATTGATGGAAAAAGCAGAATCAACAGGACTTGCTGACATATTGACTGTGTGTCAAAGGTGACCCCCAAATAAAAAAGATGGGGAGGAGGGTGTGGATAGCAAATACAACAGTCCACCTAAAATGTCAGCTTTGCAAAAGGATGATGTTAGCATTTTGGAAGGGGCGGGGATTGTTCTTTCTGCTTCAATATGTTTTGAATACTTTGCCTTCTACCCCGAGGTGTTTTCTGCATAAAAGTTGAATGAAAGTCTAATAAGGTGAGTGACCCTCTGGACAATTTTTTCTTGTTGAGAATACTAGGGTTTGGGGAAACAATTAAGTAAATGTATGTGTGAGGAAAGATCCCGACGTCTCATTTACATATTCTCTCCTCTGGAGGTTCTGTGAGAGTCAAGACTCAGACGTTGCACTTCCATGGGGTCCTGTAATGAACTGAATCGTGCTCCCTTAAACTTCCCTGCCGAGGTCCTCACAGCGTGTCTGTGTGGAGAGGAGACATCTTGGAGGCAACGAGGGTGAAATGAGGCCACAGGGTGGGTGTGCGTCCTGAGGGCCAGTGTCCTTACAAGAATGGAAGAGCGACCAGTGCTGCTTGGCCTCTCTCTGTGATGTGCGTGAGGAAAGGTGGCATGAGGACACAGGCGTGTCTGCAGGAACACCTGGCACCGGGTCTTCCTGGTATTCCAGAACTGTGAGTGAGTAAATGCTGGTGGCTGAAGTGGCTACTGTGCTGTGGCGGCAGCAGCTGATTCCCTCTGGTACCACCTTCTGCCACCTTCTACCGACTTCCATACACGTGTGTGAGAACGCACACCCCTCACAGCCCAGGACTGAAAGCGAGGAGCAGCTTCACTCTCCCTCTCATGCACGCACCCAGCCGGAGGCTGTCACTGGAAGGAGAACCTCCGTTTCCGTGATCTCCCCTTTTCACATGTTTCAATCCTTCACTAACTTCAGGACTTAAGTCACCACTCGCCGGAGACTGTGAAGACAGTCACGGGGTTTCTGATTTAGCAGATCTGCATCTGGTCCTAACCAACAGCCCAGAAAATTCTGACAACATTTTGAAAAACACCAAGACAAAGTTATTTCCACATAAGTCTCATAAATATTGTGCATAAGGGGCCTTACTACAGTTATTCATTCATCAGCAATATCCCTAGGATTGCAAGTGAGTTTCTAGTCATTTTATTTATTTATTTATTTTAAGATGAAAAAAGCCAAAGTTTACTAAGAATCCAGGTAGGACAGAACTAATGGCAACAGCACTCGTGCATTTCCCCTTTCAGTCAACCCACAACTTGTGCAGGATGCGGGCTGGCTCGGCCGCCTCTTATTTCTAAAACAGCACAGTGAAGTCCTTTTTAAACTCACCTTACAAAGTAAGAAATGTGAAGTGAACTTTGTGGGGCCTAGTCCCAGTATTAAGTTCTCCATTTACAGAGAGAGTGTGACACAATGGGCACTACCCAGTGCTGCAACATGGCAAAGTTGCCAGAGTGTGGGGGGACTTTCAGAGGAGCAGAGGGGAGCTGCTCCTGGATTCCAAGGCTGGGAAACTTCAAAGCCCTGAAGTGGGAAGGTGCAGCTCTGGTGGCCCGGTCCAGGCAGAATAACCTAATTCTGCTCAGCCCCCACCTGGCCTCTTTGATCTGCACAGGTCCACGTGGTGGTGGTCATGGTGGAAGACTATCTCTGCAGAACTCCAAAGGAGGTGGGGGTGGGGTACAGGGACCCACCGGGAGGGAGTCTCCAGGTTTAAGGCCCAGCTTTACCAGGAACTGCTGCAAAACTTTGCCACCAAAGACCCAGTATTTCTAAGCAGTGGAATCCAAACCACTGAACTCCCCAGGGCATTTTCATGGTTAGAGATATGTTCCAGGGGGCAGGAAGGGAGCGGAAGAGAATCAGGATTGGGGCAGCAGAAAAGGCCCCTGCCGATTCTGGGAAGGGGCAGCATGTTTGAAAAGCAGGCAGATTCGTGGGTAAAGCACCTTATGTAGGATAAACACCAGCTCTCCTGGAGATGTTTCCTAAGTACCATAACTGAGCCATGTTCCCACCTAAGGGTCCCTGTGTCTGAAAATAAGTCATCATAGACTCACGTAGGAGACCAATTTCCCTGTAGAAAACTGCCAGCAGTTTTGAGGGCTCTCCCCTGTGCCTCTGTGACACAAGCAAAGACATTACTCAGGCAGGAAATGAGACTAATACTTCTAGAAGTTTCTCTCAGAAAATAGAAGTAAAACTCCTGGGCACACACAGTGGCGCACTGGCGTCTTTCTGCTGGGCTTGGCAGACACAGCCTCTACTCCAGCCTCCTCACCCCTCCTCCAGCTGCCTCTTGAACAACGCACCTAAGATGCCCTTCTCCACATCAGGTGAAGTCCAACTCGCGTCTCTTCCCCAAGAGGGTTCTGAGAGTAGTGAAGTGTTTACTTTTGACAACAGCCAGTAAGTCTTCTGAGCCTCTCTGTATGGCAAGATGCGAGAGATCGTGGCTTTCTCGACAGAGAGGAGGCAGGTCAGCGCGGGAGTCAGGCTAGAGAGGAGGTTCTGGATGGTGCGTCCTCCTTTGTAAAAGCCCCTGGCCTAGCACGCAGCACACTTTGGACACGCCGTTGCCGAGCTTAGCTTTTGAGTAATGTGATTCCAGACCTCGCGGAGGTGTCAGCGGCCCAGGCGTCTGGCAAAGCTGGTCATTTCCAAGGTAATGTGTGCAGTGAGCTGGCTGAAGCCTACCTTTTGTCCCTGCACTTCTGTTGTGATGTGGTCGGCTTCCCCATCCTCAATCTCCCCCATCTTCACGACACTGACTTCTATGGTGCCAACAACTTTGCCACCATCTGAAGTCCTGCAACCAAAAATAAATGAAATGGAAAGATAAGAATCTTCTGTTTCTGAAAATCACTGACATTGTTCTTTACTTACTTGGTTTAATTAAACAGGTTATATTTAAACACTTCAAAAGGTGTTAACAGTGTTGGTGTCGTTTTGAATTAAAAAAAAAAAAAACAAAAAAAACTTAACCATAAGTTTGTAAGGTGATTGTCAGGCACTCCCCCTGGAGAGGAGGCCTTGAGGAGACTCACAGAGAAGCTTAGCTGCAGCCGGCTGTGCCTGTGTGTCCCCCTCCACCTTTCTCAGCAGAGCAGACCACCCCCCACAACCTACTGCATGAGGTATGGTACACAGGTGACAAACAGCACTGAATAAAATGGAAAATCAGGTAGACATCCCTGTATTCCTCAACGGCCAGGCCACTGGCAACAAATCCAATATTCTACCTTTCAGTTAACATCATTTTTTCTAAGACTCAGTGAAGAAGATTCTCTCCCAGCAAACATAAGTCAAGGAATACTCAGGGTTATATGGATACGTTATATGACCACGTTATATGGAAATTGACCACACAACAAACAAAACCTTTTTTTTTTTGTCAGATAAAATAACTGACTCAAGGAGATGCAAAACTCATCCAATGTGATAGTGTCCCAAATCCAGATCTGTCTTCTTCAAGTTTGTTGATCATTGAACAACTCTACTTAATGATGATAGTTTACTGGTAAGATTTCCATCATCATTTTGTCTTCATCACACCAGTTTTAGAACAGGCAACAATAATGAGCGATAAAGTGCACACTACTTCCCGTTACGATTCTCTAGTTTCTTTTTCTGATCAAGAAAATACACAGAGGAATTGCTGCCATCAGGCCATGGAAATCCTGACAGGTAATGTTATTTTCACGTGAATCTTAGCTTGAAAAAGATAGCAACCCAACTCTCCACAGGTAAGACATGTGATTGTGGCATTTATGGAACTCAAACTGACCAGTTGTCATTTATGTGACATTTAGTTTTCTTCAATTAGGCACATTCATTTCTGAAATTTGTTTTTGGCTTGAAATTGATCTGAATACCACCATGTCTTTCTTTCAACAATTCCTTCCAATTGTCACTATTTTATTATAGGTGGTAGAAAAGAGGAATAGGGAAATTAAGATAAAGAGCTTAACAGAATGATAATTAAAATAATGAACAAATTAGGTGAAGAGGGAAACCCAGTGATGTTTCTAGATCATGGGAAGTTTTTCTAAAATAAAAAAGTAGAAATTGAAATGTACCATTTAAATCATGTTTGTAAGGAAACCTAACTGGGAACATTCTGGCGCCCTAACTGGGAACATTCTGGCGCCAGGTGCAGAGCTAATGTTACAATGTCATAAAATAAAGATTACGTAGTACATAGAAAAAGAAAAGTGATTTACTTGTGATAGTGTATTCAGATTTCATACTAAAGTATGAAATAACATGCCTCTTGGTGATTTTTATATCGGTGGAAAGCATAATACTAACTCAATTACTTAAAATTAATATAGAAAGCTTAAACATTAGTCACAAAGAAGATGTGGACATAGACAACAGTATGATTTGTAATTCTGTGGGAAACTACACTAGCTAGAGTTCTGGGGTGGTTTTAAATAATTCATGATACCATTTTCTCACTGAAAACAATGTACTAACTTGTAAGTCATGACGTGACATATCACTGTAGAATTCTTCAGCTCCTGATAGTTAGGGCATTTAATAAGAGCCCTTATTGGTCCTGCACATTTGCTGTTAATTTCCTCGAGATTTGCAGCCTTCTGTTTCCCCAAACATTGGTCATCAATGGCATTTAAATATTTTCTTCTCATAGGAATTATTTGAAATATTTTGCTTGAGTAAACTAAGCTGGGCTAAGTGCTAGAATTGTGTCTACTCTCATAATGTTTTTGCTGCACTAATCTAAATAATGCATATAGTGATTTCAGACAGCAGACGCTCACACCCTCCTTCAGGGCTGGGTAATACACTCCGTACATGCCCTGGTGACTCAAAGTGGGTAAAGGGCTGAACTGAGGAGCCTGCGCTCTCCTTGAGCTGCGGGACTGAGAAACTCAACTGCAGGAAACTTCACTTGTAATGTGGACACGACTGTGCTGTGAGTTTTCAGCTGTGACATGATTTCTGCGCAGTGTCTTACACAGGCTATGTACCATTCCCTTCTGCTCCCCCCTTCACCCCAGGGGTACCAGCAAGACTGCTGGAGTATGAGTAGTGGTGTGCTGGAAGTAGTGATAGCAGAAGCAGTAGCACCAGAATCATCAATAACTTTTATTAGATTTAATGTGATTTCAGAAATTTTCCTAACATGGACATTCAACACTGTAATAAATAGATTAAAGGGTCGCATGGTATATGCATTTCAACAGTGATTAAATGCTCAATGAAGATACAAAGAGTTGGTGATTGCAGATGTTAGGAGGCTTCCATCCTTGGTAGTGCAAAGAACACTCACTTTTAACCAATTACAATGCAAGTGAACCTTTCCGAGGCATCAAAGTGGATAAATTAGCAATGAGTCATGGGAATATGTCTCTGAATTTATGGTTCTATTCATTCTCTTTGAAAGTATCTGGCTATTTTCTCAATATTGTTCATGCTTTAGGTTTCCTGCTTCTCTCTGTCTCCTACGGATTTTCACCTGTGCCTGACTGGAATC